AGAAATATGAAACTTTGAATGAGTATATAATCAGAAAACGTTGATTTTTTTATGGCTGTTTCGGAAATACATTTCATAAGTGAAACAGGCGAAAACAAGAAAATTGCTTTTCAAATATGTTTGGAAAATATGTAACTCATACTATATAAAAACTCTATACGATATCAAGGCAATATCCTAAGCTACAATATGGAACCAAATTTGGAAAAAAGTGCAGAGAGTAATGAATTTGCTTATCATGCTTTGTGAAAAGTGAATCCATATCTAATGCACTCTTCCCACTAACAAAAACGTCCTTGCTGAGTCAACCATGGAGATACAGAGGTGTTCTCGGTCCCTATATACTTAAAACCAATTCTCGAGCTCGGCAGAAAAAAAAATCTGATTTGAAACGGCAACTTATGATTAGTACAAATTAGTATTTTTTGAGATTCGTCAAAATATTTTGTCCAAATTTCGGCAACTAGCACAAATGTACCAATATTTTAAATAGTAGTTTTATGAGCATAAGATCAAACAAAATTAATACCGAAATCAGCAAATGCATTTACTGAGATTGTCCTCATGCATTACCGAATTTCGGTAGTGCGGCTGTCAAAAACACCTGCCATATTTTTCTTTAGCTTTAGCGTAAAACATACAATTTATATGAAATTGAAGACAAGATTGTGGAACTTATACCGGATTTTGAGACCTATGATCAAGATTTTTAGCAATGTATAATGTTCTCAAAAGTGTGAAAGAATCGCGTAAGCATTTGTTATCTATTCCGTAAGTGCCTGCCAGAGTACACCCTCTTATAAGATGGTATGTTTGTACACTTATTTATTCGTCATCAAACGTTGACCATTTCAGGATGTCTGGATTTTATGCAGTTGCTTGCCACTGCCACTGCCGGCAACAAATTTATTAAATTTAAATCAGGTCGTAGTTTTTATTGTGAAATAATTTCACTCGTTATTCTTCTTTTTAAACAAAAACGAAAAATCGATAGCAAAATAACAGCTTACAATTTACCGAAATTTGCTTTTGCCGAGTAGTCAGTTAAATGTTTTGCTGATATTTTCCATAACTATTATTTTTGGGATTGCCTTTTGTGACAGACTTTTGTTTTGCCGAGATAGTTGCCGAGCACTCAGCGTCAGCGGTGCCAATTTCGGCAATTGGTTTGCCGAGATTCGTTGGAAAAAAAACTTAGCTTGTAGTAACAACGGGTGTTGAACTAACAATCCTTTCTTTCTCCGATGTCCGTAATTGATCTTGACCTTGATTCACCGGAGTTTGCACACTGAGAATGAATTGCTTATCCTAAGCCCCATTCATATGGTTCTTGTGCAAATTCGCTAGCTCTGATCAATCACGGAGTAGCAGCTACGAATTGATGGTCGTCAATTATCAAACTCATGGACAGACTGGTAAGGGTAAATTATTTGTTTTCCTAAAATCGGCCAAGTGACCCCAAGTATCCAGTCAGTTCGTTAATTCTCTTTTGTGCAATTCGATATACGGTTAATATAGAGCTTCCAAACTTTATATCAGCATTATATTGTGAAAATGGCTAATTAGCGGGCTTCTTGATTACTTTGGACTATTTGATCTAATTACCTTCGGCCATCGAGATCTAAATTTTCGCAACACGACACTAAGGATTTTAATCTAAAAATACTCGACGCTGTCTATAACCCAACTCAATGTTTCTTATTTCAATGTGGCTTTAGAATGTGGAAGGCAAGCCTTTCAGACATTTCTGTTTAACCGTTATGTGCCTGACATACATCACAAACAGAGCAATGTGCATGGATCTTAAGATTAGCATAGCAGTTTTGCGAGGCTACGAAACTTGAAAAGGAAAAGTGTTCAAAATAGTCTGGATTTCCATCTACAGACAAGTCTACAGAGAGATTTTTTTTGAATATCACTTCCCGAGCAGGAACGAATATCTCGATACTTTAAATTGGTATGGATGAGCCTGACATTGAGGTAAAACAAAAAAAAATAAAATGTTCCCACAATACCATTCCAATACCGAATTATGCCAAATAACAATATCGCACAGGTATTCTTTTGGTATCCAAATAACATTTTTTGTTATTTACAAAGTATTTTACATGCAATTTTGTTGGTATTATTCTTTGGTATTTTACCTCCTATGTCATGCTGATCAACACCAAATTTTGCAATCAGATCAGAATTAGGTATTCATTAGATATTTTCTCCTGCTCGGGTTTTGGATGTCAACACAGACACCTTTTCCAACTTTGCAGTAGCTGGGCATGCAGTGGAGAAATTTGAAAGTTTATTGTATCTATTTGGGAACTGATGATTGGCGGTGTAATCTGTCGTTCAGGCGTATTGTGTGTGCCACAAAGTAAGGGTTTGATTCCCGCTGAGCCGGTAGAGTTTTTCGTAAAAGAAAATTTATCTATTGGTCTTCTGGGTGTAGTTTGTGTTGTCCGTTGATTAGTATTAAATGTTCAGACTGTAAAAAGTCTGGTTGAAGACGGTGTCAATTGTTTTTAACTCGGCAGCCAGATCGCGTCAGACAGCGGAATCAATCATGGTGCACGACTAGTCTTCACAACTTTCCGAAATATTTGGTGATCAAACCAGATTAGTCAACGCACTAACATTCGTACCAGCGAAACGTAATGCGTAGGTAATCACCAATCGATGCCTAGTATATAAATTTTGCCTTGCCTTAACTCTTCGATGGGTATAAATAGCGAGACCTTTCAGTTAGAATCGGTTCCTTTCGATGAAGGCAAGAGTGACCACTGTATCAAAACCGATACAATGATGGAGTGATACGACATGCACTATACTAAGGACACGGGATATGCTACGATAGATCAAGGAGGAGAAAAAAAACAAAAAATCTTGCTTGATGGCCTCAAAATTGGATCTCAGATGCCTATACACCTAATTCTGTGCATCTGATGCATCTGAAATGCATCTAAGTTAACAGCATGCAATAAGCTTATATGCGATAAGCAATAAGCTTAAAAAGAAGAAGAAGATGATGATGAAGAAGAAGAAGAAGAAGGAAGTGCTGCAAGAAATCTGGTAGAAGAAGATGCAAGTGTGGACGCTGCATTAGAAAATGGCAGGACATCGCAGTAGCGGCAAAACCAGGGACTCATGGTGTAGGAGTTTTAACAAGGAAATCAAGCAAGTCGAAAGAAATTTCAGCTGGACCTAGGGCAAAGTAAAACTAAGTATGCACCCAGTATAGCAATCTTATGCCTTGTTTAGACTATAGAGTTATAACATGTCACAAGGGTGTTATAATAATTATCGACAAGTAAACTGCCATCAGGATAGCCTAGCAATATGTTATAACTCCGTAGTGCGAATATAGCATTACACGTTGGCACACCACTGGATGTGCTCAGGATCTATGCTTGAGAGAGTACATTTTTATTTTATTAAATGTACAAAAACATCGACCAACACTCATTTTATTGAATTTATTTTTCTGTCGACAATTCTAGAGGGGCTACTCTGCGGTATAGAAGAAAACTTAAACACCACAGGAGCGTTAGTTTGTGTACTTGAGGATAAAAGTGGACAAAATAATCGTATTTGTCAAAAGAAAGTCAATAATAACAGAACGAAAAGGATGATGCTCTATCCATGCCAAAAGCTTTACAAAGTGAAAAGTACAAGTTCAAGATGAGGTTTGTCTTTCTTTAGTCTATTTTAGATCATTAAAATGTATTCAAAGGGCCAGAAAAAAAAATGATTTGTTTTCCGTTAATCTTGTTTTCCGTACTGAGTACCAATGTTACCGACACCAGGGAGGCAGCTCTCACATTTGGACCCTACCTATCGAGCCATCAAGTCACGGGCTGGAGACCAACGGTTTTACTTCCCTTACTTCCTGAAGGAAGGCGGGATCAGATATGTTATGCCTCAGAAAATCCCGACGGCGCCGACTGGGATTGAATCCAGGCGCTTTGGAATGATAGGTTAACACGCTTACCACTACACCACCGGCGTCTCTGAACAGAAATCGTTTTAATGTTGATCAATTTTACGTTTTTCAAATCAAGAGTGAATTTTCACTGCTTTTGTAAACATAGATTAATCAAACGTTAATTTGTCCAAACTATTAGCTCGCCCACGTAAATGACACAACCATAATGTTGGGGAAACTTTACCTTACCTGATGGTGGTGTTAGTTTGCGTGGTCAAGCTAAGAGGCTGTTCATTAACTACGTAGATATTTTAGGGGGGATGGAGTTTGCAATTATCCTATTCCCATACTGCGTAGACATCTGTATGGACAATTGTCTACGCATGGAGAGGGTGGCGGGGGGGGGGGGAGGGTGGTTAAAAGTCCCGAAAAACTGTATACGTAGTTCATTAAGCCACTAAGAGTATAGAAAAATTAGCGTCAGAATATTTGCTTGAAAAGGCAGATACGGCTATTTGAAAAATCACTCTTGAAATACAGTTTTATTATATGTGGTGTTCAGACGGATCTGACGGTTTTCTGGGAGCTAAAATGATTAAAAAAAAACTTCATGTTTTTCTTCATAAGTACGTACGTACTAACTGAATGTTAACGCATGTTTATTCTATGAGCACTTTGATACTTAATATTTGACGTTGGCTTTCTATTCCTATACCATTCGGTAAACATAATGATACACTATACACAGTGATGCTTTCAGAAAACCTTAAAACTACCGTTCCGATGCAAGATCGTTTTAAATTAACATGGGTGTAATTTCACTATGTGGTTGTGCTATGATGCTTTATTTTATTTCGAAATTTTTTTATAGATTTTTTAACGCTTTATTATAAAGATATTACATCGATTGTCATTCGTGGAAAAGTCACTAAGCACGTATACACATATTTCACTTGCTTTTATAGAGAAAATAATGTTGTAATAAATGTTGTAAATAATGTTATAATTGTTCATCACTTTTTACGCATTGAAATCACTCGATTTTCGTCCTTACTCGTATCTTTCATCAGAACAAATTACTCACTAATAGTGCACATGCTCAGATGTTGCCTCTCAGATCCAACATGCTTTGTTTATCATTCCTTTGTAAGCTGTATATACGAACATTTTGACATGAATTCATTGTATCATCAATTTTCTTCACCTTGGCTCATCATCAGTGGGTAGTAGTCCTTGCTGCTTTGCTGTATTCTTTCAATCAACGTTTCCAATCGCAAACTAGGTCCACGGTATAACATTCTCATGGCCATAATACGACCCACAGGAATTCAGTAAGCACTATTCTAAACTAAACTATTACATACTATCACTGCAAGCACTTTTTGAATAGTGACATTTTTTATTCAGTTCAACAGTTCACCTTATTAGAGCATCAATACTTTACATGTACTTTTGAAATTTTAGTAGTAACATATCACTCACACATGTGTAAATATCACTATGCTCCAATCTTAAACCCCAACAAACCCAAATGTGTCCAACGCACCCAACGAATGACTGGTGACTGAGCTCTGTTGGGACGCTAGCGCCCAACTATATACTGAAGAAAGTAACGTATCACATAGCACCGAACGGTATGGAACAGAAACTTTATTCACTCGTCCACAACCCACACTGAACCTATGATTCAGGGTTTTTTTGTTCTTCTCTCACTCTCTGATTATCTCTTAGCTCAGAAGCCGAGGGACTTTGCTCTTATGTTGGTGGCTCACAAACCATCCATCCGTGCCGTGTGCTATGCAATTGAATTGGTAAATCCATTTATTCAAGCGCCCGTTGGATATGATGCTTCTGCCTTAGTTGCTCCGATACCAATGCTTGCTACGTTTCGTTGGAGAGCGAACCCCGAGGAGAGCCAAATAGCGGCACAACGCCAACATGATTTTGGTTTTACACGATGTGATGTGGTGATGTGCCTCACACTCTCATTCTATGCACTCTCTCGCATGTTCAGCGGGCTCTGCCCTGTGCCGAAAGTTTTGGAGTATTGGATTCATGTTTTATTTTCCTCGTGATTTTTTGTTGATATTTACCAACTTTCTGCCGCACCCGGGGAAGATGATCGCTCGGAGATTTCTCCAAAAATGAGGCTGTTTTATTTACACGTTTCCCTATTGGGCGCCTACAAAGGTTGATTATCCGAAAAGGTTAGCTCGTTGTATGATAGGCTTCATTCGTGTTTATGTATTGTTGTAATGCGGGGTGGTGCTAACTAACTTAGTTAAGTTATGTATTTTAGCGCACTGCCGAACATTTCCGATGACGGTCATTTGCACCGACAGACACTACAGAAGTAACTAATGTGTGAATATTAGTGTTGTGAATGATCATTGAAAAAAAAAAAAATTAATAATAATTATTGTATAACAACCCCCTGTCGCAGGTAATGTATACTACCCATCGCTATTATTAGGCTATTTTATAACCAATTGATTCGACAGGAGAAATTCATTTCATGTTAAAAAGTGCTTGAATATTGACACTACGCGGTTTTCAATACTGAATAGTGCAGCCTAGATCATTTTAGATAGATAAATGCTTGGAGTGTCTATCAACACCTGAAAAATTGCTTTCCGACATATGTTTTGATCTAGTTTACTTTTGGTTTGTTTGCGAGATTTCGTTGAATTTGATGCATCATTGGCAATCCTCAACCTCCAACTTCAATAATTCCTGCCCGTCTTGTTAACATTTGAGGTATTGGCGATTGAGGTATTGTATAATCAGCACATACATTATAACAAGTAATTATTAGAAATAACTGCAGCTGAATTCAGAGCACAAATTTCATCGAAGAGAAATAAATTTCAACATATTATACAGTTCGAATAAGTTAAGGCTTGTGTAAAAGCACGACTGCGTTGACGTAGAACTACGAATTTATTTTCGCTGCCTTATTCAATAACATATTAATAATCAAATAAATGGTTTAGAAATTTATCTCCAAAATCATCAATTCATTATTAAGTTTTTTAAATTGGGAATAACCAAGGAGCTGGCACCCCTATCTCTACGAATAACAAGTAGCCATAGCGAGCATAGTCGTGGGCCCGCATGGATTGATAGGTGATCACGTTTTTATGCTGGCTACAAAAAGATGGTGGTGTGTCAGGCCTTTGGGAATATCCGCCTAAAATTAGGATTCAATTTTTAATATTGAAAATCTGTTCGTTTATTAAAAAGATTTTCACATTCGGTTGTATTGGTGTAATAGGTGAGAGCGTTTTAGTGAAAATCCGTTGAAAAAACATAAAACATATGTGTCAAACTAATATTGACAAAAATCTATTTTCATCATCTATAGGTTAGTCAGAGGAAAACAATAAACAACTTAACACGGTGCACCCGCTAGTGTGTGTGCGTTAAACATCACTAATCTCTACACAGAAAAAAAATTCTGAATTTTAACTATCGCGTAAAATCTCCCCTAGTTTAATTTTGAGCTACAGTTGGCATAAACAACGAAATCGTTTACAAGCTTGCTTACAATATTGATAATTTAACAATATTGCGCATAAATTTACTCGAAATTTCGTGTAAATTTATGCCAAATCTAGCGTTAATTTTATGTGCGCTATACCTCGCAGAAATGTACATGAATTTTTTAAATGGTGTGGGCTAATAGTGTGGCTGCCACCGTCCCGGTAAAACCTTGTCAGGCCTCCGGATACGTTCAAAACTCGTCACCGATAAGTAGTTGGTGAGTAGTAGGCTCAGATGTAACATTCCTGACTTACGCCGATCTGGCTCTGAATACGGCCCCCATGAAGGACCGCGTAAACCCTAGCATGGCCTCCCTGCTTGCATAAAATTCCAAACTTATTGTTTATTCGGTTAGTAAACATACTTTTTATAAGATATTTAAAACAATATTTTTATATGTGTAAACATAAACACCATAATAAACCTCTTATCTGTTATAAGATAGCCCATAACACTTATATGCGTGAAATATTTTATTTATATGTGTGCTACCATAAAAACTATGTTTCGCATCTTATAGTTGAATGTTATGTGTTTCCACACATAATATTGATGTTTGAGCGCTGAGTGGTGCTAACTGCTAACTGATTGGTGCAAGGCAAACGTGAGTAGTATATAATTATTTTTTTGAAATAATATTATTTTGTGAATTTTTCCGAGGGATACGGCGAGGTGTACGTCCATGAGGAGCAAGCGCAGGAGAAAAACGTGCAGGAAGAGGACGTAGAGGCTCGCAGTGGCGAAGTATACGCTAGATCCTCTGAGGCACCTTTGACAGACACGGGAGGACTCAAATGAAAACCGCCTCCACGCGAAAAATCCATATTAAATCAAGACCAACAATTGAAATGGCCTTAACTCCATTTTGTAAATAAACCTTGTAAGGCCATTTTCTCGCGAACCAAAACCTTCATTCGCAAACCTAAACCACAAACGTGTAGAGGAGAATTTCTCCTACCTGTTCATTATGTTGGTTTGCCTTTGCGGATTTCGGTTTGCGAGAAAATGGCCTTACAAGGTTTGTTTACAAATGACTTTCATTTGAAAAATACACTTAATATTTATTTTCAACCGAGAAATAATTGTTATAAACCTCACACATAAATTTTGTTAGCTTGCTTTGGCTATGAAATTCATTTATTTTAGAACATTAATTTTATTTGCGGGAAACCTAATAATTTTAATATTCCCAAACTTTTTGGGCTGAAGAAGCATCCTTAGATCAAGAGCTCGGTCTTCAAGGAGCTCATCGAAAAGTCTCTTGACGAAGGAGCGAGCGAAAAAGTTATATGCCAGGAGACAGTGGTCGAGTGCAGGAATCTGGAAGAGATCACTACAGAAGAGGATCTGATAAGTGCGTTTAAGGTACACTGTCAAACCGGATGACCGTACGGCGGCATGCAAACGGTGGTGTGGTGATACGGCTTTCGACAGTTGCAGTGAACAAGCTGTTGGAGATGAGAAAATTTAAGGTTGGGTGGTCAGTGTGCTCGCTGAAAGCCACTCCTGCTTCAAGTGCATGGGTTTCGGTTACCAGGCGAGGAACTACAATGGCCTAGACAGATCTGATCTGGGCAGGAAAAGCAAAGCAACCTAGGTACATGCTCTGCAAAAAAGAGGACGGAAATGAACAAACGACGGGAGTTTTCAAATGGCTAGCATACAAAAAGGCGACGACAGGCCAATATTAATGAAGATAACCTAAATAAACTTTTATCATTGCGACCGTTGCTACGCACCCCAGAGATGGACGATCGAGCAGTTTCACGAGATACTGGATGGACTTACCGAAAAGCTGATCGGACGAAGACCGGTAGTCATCAAAAGAGACTTCAATGCTTGGGCACTGAAGTGGGGAAGCAGATGTTCCAATGCAAGAGGGCCCAGTCTGCTGGAAGCTCTGGCAAAGCTTGAATTTATGCTGTCCAACGAAGACACCTGAACGCGGACGAGTTTACAGAAACGTTAGTGAGAGCATGTGACACGACCATGCTGAGGAAACTTGAGCTAAATAACAGATGGCGTTCAGCTTACTGGTGGAACGAGGCACTTAGCACCCTCCGCGGTAGTTGTCTCAGAACCAGAAGACGTGTTCAGAGAGCTAGACCAGAAGCAAACAAGAGAGGAACGAAGAGGAGTGTTTCGATCGACCAGACCTGTGATGACGAAGATCAGAAGTCCAACGATGCCCGCTTAAATGTGCCAGACGTAATCCATCTTTGTTGTAAATTATGGAACGTAAACAAACATGTCATGAAAAATTAAGTGTTCCCAAACTGAAACATACGCAACTCGATGAAAAGTACGCTTGATTGAATTGATTTTTTCGTTTCTTTCAACTGATTCTTGTGTCATTTGGGCCGCTTGCATTTGTCAGTCTCAGGGCACGGAAATTTACATGACTTTTTCGTAGTGTGTAGTCCAATCATTTGGGTTATCGTTCGTTTATGGTAATTTTTTATCAAGAGGTGCTGCAGAAATGCCTGAACGTGGGTCACTTTCTTGACAGGTGGAAGATACAGAAACTAGTGTTGCTGCCGAAACCAGGAAAACTGCCGAGGGATCCAGGCCTGCTGGATACACTCCGAAAACTCTTGGAGAGGATCATCTTAAACAAGCTGACGAAATGCACGGAGAGTGAGCACAGATTGTCGGAGAGACAGTTTGGATTCCGGAAAGGGAGATCAACGGATGGGACACACATGGGACAGAGATCTATTAGGATCACAGCGGGAGTTCCACAA